ACTACCTCCTGTAGGTCCTTCTTGCTTTCTCTCTCTCTCTTTCTCTCACACACAAACACAGTAGGTCTTCAGAGTCTTGGTGACACAGTGGTCAGGCACTTGGATACTAACCCAAAGGTTGGCACTTTGAACCCAGCAGCCACTCCACAGGAGAACGATGTGGCAGTCTACTCCAGTCTGCTACTAGCCCCAAGGGACAGTTCTACTCTAGCCTATAGGACTGTGTTGAGTTGGAACCGGCTTGACAGCAGTGGGTCTGATTTTGCTTTTTGGTACATTGTTTGAACTGAGATAGGTTTATGGGGATGAAGAATATGCAGACTCAATTTAGAACAAGCTGCCTTTCCCAACCTCTGTGCAGTTAGTCAGGGTGTTGGGTGTCCAGTAAGAAATACAGGGCTAGAATACAGGTGAGAGGGCCAGTGGGAACCAAAGACTGTATGTGCTCCCAGAAGGGTCAGAATGAAGAGAGGAAGGGAAGACTAATTAAGAACCGAGAAGATTATTGGTGGGCACGAAAGAGCCCTGGTGCTGTAGTAGTTAAGAGCACAGCTGGTAATTGAAAGGCGGGCATCTGAAGCCACCTGCCATCTCCTTAGAATTCGCTTCCATAAGGAATAGAGCCCGCTGCTGTTGTATCGATTCTGATTCATAGGGATCATCCTGTGGGATACAGAGTAGAAGTGCCTCATAGAGTTCCCAAGGAGTCCTGGGTTGGTGCTGTAGAATCAGCCTTGGACTGCTAACTGACACAGTGCAAACCCACCAGCTGCTCCTAGAAACCTCCTGCAGGATTGCTAATACTTGGACCTGGCTCAATAGCAACAACAATCCTTATAGAAGCAGACTGCCATTTCTGTTTCCTGAGGAGTGACTGGAGAGTTTGAACCACTGACTTTCTGGTGAGCAGCTGAGTGCTTAACCACGGTGCCACCAGGACTTCCATCGTAAAGATTACTGCTGCTGCTGCTGCTGCGTCCCATCAAATTGGTTCCGACCCATAGCAACTCTGTAGAGGGACTCTGGGGCTATAAATCTTCACAGGAGCAGAAAGTCTCATCTGCTGGGTTTGAACTGCTGATATTGTAGTTAGCAGTCCAATTAGTAATCCAGTATGCTACGAGTGCTCCTTATTATAAAGATTACAGCTGAGAAAACTGTATGGGAAGTTGTATTTTTGAAATTAAATCAATGGGAACTGACCACAACAAGGGTTAGGAGGGAATGGTCAGAGATGACACCTCCAGGAGTATAAGGAAAACAGGGATCTTTGTCTCCCGACTCCAAACATATGTCTTTTGAGATGACAGATTATTATTGCACTAGGAAGGGGCTTTACTGATACCATCACTTTTCACAGGGCAGTTTATTCTCAGACCAAAGGAAAAAATGGGAAGTGAAATGTATTTGTAACTTACATCCTTGTGTGCCACTTGAGATTTGGGGCACGCACTGTGAAAAAGTTGCAGTCTTTCTTTTAAAAAGACATTTCTAAAAGAACAAAACTACCATGAACAACCACTAATGATCCAAACACCCACTATTTAAAATGCACAAACTCATTAAGAGGCTGGGGAACCAACAAGAGGAAATTCCAGGTGACAACTGAAAGAAAAGGAGAAGCAGTTAAATATAGGTGGGGTTCATTTCCTTAATGTGTGAAGGTTTTTTCCAACCCTGGCTGCAAGGTTGAGCGTTTCTGGTATTAATAATTCACAGGAAAAGGTAATGAAGTAACCCCAGCCTTGCAAGGATTGGAAGTGATTTAGAGTCTTAATGAGGGAAGTACCTTACTAGGGAGTTTTCTCCATAGGCCGGTTACGCATCTCCCTAACACACTCTCTTGGGTTTGTTCTAACCAGCTCAAGTGTGGTTTCATTGATGATACAGAATAGATTAATGTTTGGCAAAAGAATTACCACCTCAAGCTTGGGACAGCTGACTATAGATCAATTTTGCTTCCACAGCCAATTTCTGTTGAGCATGATTAGCTAAAGGCAGCTCTTGGCTTGTGTATACGATTAGCAGGGTTAAATGAAGATTTAATGACCCAGGATTCAGCTGTTTCATTCTCAGTATACCTACAGTTTCCAACTAATCATTCCAATGCACCCTACCTTGAAGGGAGCAGTGCATCTGGGACCTGTTTTTGTGAACACAGTTCAGGGGCTGGAGGGCCAAAGATGGTACAGTTCTATTGGAAGCGATTCAGGAACTGATGCAAATGCACCTTGCAGCATGGCTGTTGTCCCCTTTCCCTAGAGGAGCGAGCATGGCGTTTCCACCATTATGTTGTTGTTGTTGTTGTTAGATGCCATCAAGCTGATACCGACTCGTAGCGACCTTATGCACAGCAAAACGAAAACACTGCCCAGTCCTGGGCCAACCTCACAATTGTTGCCACACTTGAGTCATTCAATGTTGCCACTTGGCCAGTCCATCTCGTTGGGGGGGTCTTCCTCTTTTTCTCTGACCCTCCACTTTACTAAACATGATATCCTTCTCCAGCGACTGCTCCCTCCTGACAATATGCCTGAAGTATGAGAGATGAAGTTTGGCCATCTTGGCCTCCAAGGAGCACTCTGGCTGCACTTCTTCCAAAATGGATCTATTGGTTCTTTTGGCAGCACTTTCAATATTCTCCTCCAACACCATAACTCAAAAGCATCAATTCTTCTACGGTCTTCTTTATTTAATGTCCAGCTTTCGCATGTATATGAGGTTATTGAAAATACCATGGCATGAAAGGCCTTTATTCCTTAGCCCTTATATTGGTCCCTTATAGTACAAAGACCATGCTAGTACAAGACCATGCTATCTGTCCAAACCAAGAAGGTCAGGTCACAGCAGTAAAGATGAACACTCTTACCATCGAGGTCCAGCTTGCTGATGGCATCACTGTCTCAGTCTCTCCTTTGGGCTCCTGATATTCATAGAGAAAAGCCATCGGCCTTCCTGTTACAGTGCCATCTTAGCCCAAGGTGACTGCTCTTACCCACATCCCTCCAATAGTGGCAGTATCCCTGCAAAAGCAAACTGAGATGCAACCACCCCTTCCCTCTCTTCCTCCCTTTCTCCCTTTTAAGATCTCTTGTGACCTAGCACCAGGACTGACTCCTGTGGAGCCACTGGAGGCTCTGTGCACTGTTATTTGACTTATACATATTTTATTATGTTTGGCTGTTGGTGATATTTAGTTGAAAATGATTTCCAGATTATAATAAAGGCTGCCCTCTATTAAATGAGCGCAGTTACATCACTGACCATATTAAAATCCTCAAAATTGGGGACTATATATCAAAGCATTAAGGAAGCAGGAGCTGTAAGGGTTGGGGGTAGGGAAAGCCAGGGGAACCCAACAATTCACATGCAGCTTTCTTGGCTTAAAGGAACTGCTGAACTTGGAAAAGATTTATACCACATTTATTATGATGCTGTAATATCACCAAGGATATAAACCAGTCACTGGCACTCTCTCAAAGAACACATCATTGTAACTCGTTATAACAATACTGCTGTGATATGTGCTCATAATATTTATAAAGGTTAAGCTATGAAAACAGTACATGCCAACTGTCAGCAGTGATGTATCATTTTTAAAAAAGAGAATGTACAAGACATAATGGTTTAAATGAACTCTGCAAAAAAGAGGCTGCTCTGCTGAAGCAGTTTGGCCATTTGACTCTCCAGTGTCATGCGCTGCTTTCCAGGATTCCCTGTGGCTTGGCCTCCAGAGCACTCACCCCTTCCTGTAGCTCTGTTTGCTATTTTCAGAAATTCGGCAGTGTTCTGAGCAACATTTGATCTTGTGTCTGGTTACTTAGTGCCTAGCTGAGTGCCTTGCGAAGGATGTTTGCAATCAATCAATAGATGGAGGCCGATTTGATGTCTGTACAAATGTGGACTACTTGGTGGTCTGTCAGAAGATGGTACAAATGGTTCTGCTTCCTTGTGGAGAGAAAAGTGATGAGGGCCGGCTTGGCTAATGATTTGCCTCTTGATTTTGGGTTTGCTCTGTGAAGATGCTCCTGGAACTTTTCAGAAACAGACACAATGTGATTAAGCAACAGTATTCCCATGAGACAGCTGTTGGATAGCTTTAACCACAGCAACAACCATGGAAGCAAGGAAGAGTAGAAGCACGTAATAGTCAACCCAGGAAATAACTATACGGGGATTGCCTTCTAAGGGGTGGGGAACATGTTCAGCCCATAAATTTTTCTATCTAGTAAAAAGTCAAGATAGTTGATGGAATCCTTTCCATTACTGTAGGAAGGAGGTAGGAAAAGAGGAAGGGGACGAGAGAGCAGGAGACAGAGAGGCAGGGAAGTGTTGAGGGAGAGAGGCTACACTATAAAGTACAGGCTCTGAACAGTGGAGAGATAGAGACAGAATTCTCTGCAATTAATGGATCGGCAGCATCAGCACATGGAAAGGACCTGCCTCATAATGACAGAAGATGATGAACAAGACACACATTCCCTTTGACTAGTCTTTGCTAATGGTTTCAAACAGATTTGGAGAGAGTTAATAGCCAAACCACTGAAAAAGTTGAATTAAATATAGTTTGAAGCTTTCTATGCTCATATGAACACATGCATATATGTATAAATGCTCAATTCATAGTGCACATGTGTTTGTCTCAACCAGTAAGCCAGTTGCCGTCAAGTTGATTGTGACTCATGACAACCCATGTGTGTCAGAGTAGGACTGTACTCCATAGGGCTTTCAGTCACTGATTGTTTGGAAGTAGATTGCCAAGCCTTTCTTCCAAGGTGCCCCTGGGTGGACTTGAACCTCCAGCCTTTTGATTAGCAGCTGAATGTATTAACCATTTGCACAGCCCAGGGACCTGTTTGTCTCAATTAATCCTTCTTTTTGTCTTTAAAAGTCATGAGTTAAAGCCTGGTGTGATTCCGTCCTGCGCGGCTGTTTTCAGTAGCAGCAACCCAGTTCTCTTCGTGCTTCTTCTCTATCACCTAAGTGCGCACCATCACCCCATGGAGGATTCGATGGATGTGGACATGAGCCCCCGGAGGCCCCAAAACTATCTCTTCGGTTGTGAACTAAAAGCCGACAAAGATTATCACTTTAAGGTGGATAATGATGAAAATGAGCACCAGTTATCATTAAGAACAGTCAGTTTAGGAGCTGGTGCCAAGGATGAAATGCACATTGTTGAAGCAGAAGCAATGAATTATGAAGGTAGCCCAATTAAAGTCACATTGGCTACTTTGAAAATGTCTGTACAGCCAATGGTCTCCCTTGGGGGCTTTGAAATAATGCCACCAGTGGTCTTATGGTTGAAGTGTGGCTCAGGGCCTGTGCATATTAGTGGACAGCACTTAGTAGCTGTGGAGGAAGATGCAGAGTCAGATGATGAAGAGGAAGAAGAAGGGAAACTCTTAAGTATGTCAGGAAAGCGGTCTGCGCCTGCAAGTGGTAACAAGGTTCCACAGAAAAAAGTAAAGCTTGCTGCAGATGAAAATGATGATGATGATGACGATGACGACGACGATGATGATGATGATTTTGATGATAATGAAACTGAAGAAAAAGTTCCAGTCAAGAAATCTATATGGGACACGCCAGCTAAAAATGCACAAAAATCAAACCTGAATGGAAAAGACTCAAAACCATCAACACCAAGATCAAAATGTCAAGAATCCTTCAAAAAACAGGAAAAAACACCTAAAACACCCAAAGGACCTAGTTCTGTAGAAGATATTAAAGCAAAAATGCAAGCAAGTATAGAAAAAGGTGGTTCCTTTCCCAAGGTGGAAGTCAGATTCATCAATTATGTGAAGAATTGTTTCCGGATGACAGACCAAGAGGTTATTCAACATCTCTGGCAGTGGAGGAAGTCTCTTTAAGAAAACAGTTTAAACAGTTTGTTAAAATTGTCCGTCTTATTTCATTTCTGTAACAGTTGATATCTGGCTGTCCTTTTTTATAATGAAGAGTGAGAACTTTCCCTACCAGGTCTGATAAATGTTGTCCAGGTTCCTTTGCCAAGAATGTGTTGTCCAAAATGCCTGTTTAGTTTTCAAAGATGGAACTCCACCCTTTGCTTGGTTCTAAGCATGTATGAAATGTTATGATAGGACATAGTAGTAGCAGTGGTCAGACACATGGAAATGGTGGGGAGACAAAAATATACATGTGAAATAAACATGTATATATATATTTTTAACAATAATAAAAAAAAAAGTCACGAGTTAAAAACATCTTCAGGGGTGTACCCTTTGGTTGTTTGAATGGTTACATTTTCCTGAGTGCTTTGGTGTACATCCAAAACAAACCCCCCAAAAACAGAGGGATTGGAAGCAAATACTGTTGAATGATGGTGCAGGGAGGAGATTGTAATCATTGCAATGAAAGGAAATATGATAGGATGAATGTAAAGCTGATGTTCTCCCATGCAAACTACCACTCAATTCACAATAAAAACTGAAACAAACAGAAAAACATCTTCAGGTGTTTTTAAGAAGTGATACCTAAATGCTTTGGAGTCAACCAGTAGTTATAATCACAATACTTTTTTGTTTTTTAAGTTTTTCTTGTGAGGTTTACATGGGAGAACATCAGTTTTACATTCATCCTATGGGATTTCATTTCATTGCAATGGTTACAATCCCCTCCATGCATCATCAAATAACCAAAGGGTACACCCCACAAGCCTGCCCCCCAGCCATTAGCACACAGCCATTCTCCCTCCCTGAGTTCAGTGTCCCTAGCCGCTCCATCATCGTTTCTGCCTCCATCCTTGGCGTCACTGCCTCTCTGGGTGGGGGTCCCACTCTCCACTCTTCTCACTTGATGGTCCTAGGGACCTCCACTCCTGGTCTGCAAAATCAGTCACTCCCTTCTTTTGGTAAAAAAATATTTACCTCTATATTTCCTACCCTCACAGTCAGTCCTGATGGCAATTATTCACTATTGTACCACAAGAGTCTTATCCCCATTTCCTTTCGCCAGCCTGGTCCCAACAGATTGGAAATCATTCAGTGGAGATTCTACCTCCCCCCGCCCTATCTGGAACTAGGTTCCCGCTTGAAAGCTTGTAAGCCAGTCACTTGTTGCCTTTATGTTGTTGTTGTTAAGTACCATTGAGTCAGTTTTGACCCATAGTGACCCTGTATAGGGTTTCTGAGGAGCAGCTGTGAGCTTGAACCACTGACCTTGCAGTTCAAACAGCTTTGCAAGGTCTGGCGCATTAACCCACAGCGCCACATCAGGACTCCTCTTGCTTTTATAGACCCCCTCCCCCCATTTTGGATAGCCAATGTCTAAGTTGCCCATCCCTGTCAACCCTGTATACTGAGGGGTTGGGAGTGATCCTCACTGATAATCACAATACTTTGCTTTGAAAGAGTGGTGACCAACAGAGCCATCCTGCTTTTCAGTGACTATTGGCCATAAGTGTGCACACAAAGCAGATAGGAGAGCACTTAGCAGGGTGTTGAGAAAAGGGAATGGAAGGAGGGGAAAGGCCCAAAGAGTGGCAGGAGGCCAGATTGGCAAGTCGGGCTGTGGTCAACAGGAGAGCATAGTCAGGTAGGCAGTAATATGGTAGTCAGATGGCTGCCATAGGAGGTCAGGGAGCTCAGAGAACACATTTCATGAGCTTATTCTGGAAGGTTTTGTCACGGTGATAATCCTGTTGGCTTCTGACTACTCAGAAAGCAATGAGCTGGCACCTCCTCATTTGGGGATGATATCATTCCACTACAAAATTCCTACAGAAATTCCCATAAGGATAGCTACTTTTGGTGGAGACCTCAGCAGGAATGAAGAAAATATGTACCTACCGTTAAATAGGATCCGTGTTTTGCGATTGCTACCAGTTAAGCCATTGTCTGGGAATATCCATGTCCCTTTGAAGGAAGTGGGACCCTGTTTCTCATGAAGTAATCATTTCTGGAAGCTGACTTGCTTTATCCATGCTCTATCAATCTGCCACCTTTTAGGAGAACTAAATCTAGTCCAAATATTTTTATAATGTTATTTGATAGCTTGAAACCAATTCATATTTTATCAGACACACATTGTCATAGTTCCAACAGAGAGGCTAAAGAGTTGTCCTCTAACCATGTTTTTTGTTTTTTTTTTTGTAAATAGAAACTGTGTTCTTCATTAGCCACAGACTTTAAATTTCACTGTTGGAAATTTCTCAGCTTAGAAACAGCCTTAATCATGGATGTTCTCACAACTATTAAATTTTGGTGTGCACACTGAGGGATATTCTTTTGGGGAAGTTGAATTTGTGTCTCTATGTTGTCCTCCTCACTCTAAAAACATAAAGAATGAGTTGAAACAAAGTGGGAACAAAAGGATGAGATGCTTTGAAATACCAGCTATATCCTGACAGAGTTTGGTGCTGAAAAACCGAAGTTTAGGTGATGAAACCCTTCTGAGTGGAGGAAAATGATTTCCTCCCAAATAGCATATCCTCTCATCCGTGGGTTTCATCATAGGCCTCAGAGGTGACATTGCCTTCTCATTAGTGAGCAATAATTATTTTAGAGGTAGCCTCATTTAACAGTAAATTATCAACATTAGAAATGCAAAATTTGATCATGGAGATTCAGCTGGAGAAAATACTATGCTACTTTGTTTCTTTCTTTTGAAAATAAGCATTTCATGGTCTTCATTCCATGACTGTGTTATATATTTACATTAGAAACAAACAAACAAACCACCCAAATTTCTCTGAAAATACCTGAATAGACAACACAACTTTTCTTTTCATTTTGGAGCTGGGTAATATCTTGATCCAACCCCTCAATTTTACAAATGAAGGAAACAAGACCCAGAAAAGACAAAGTGACTCATGCTCATTAGAGAGAAATCGTTTTATTTTAGAAGTTAAAGGGCTCAACTGTCAAATGAAATGAAATGATCAGAGCAACTTGTTTTATAGTGATCACTGAATAGAGTTTAAAATGTAAAGCTGGTGTTTGAATCAAAGACCACACATGTACTCCTAAGGTCTGAAAATGACCCTACCTTCCCTCTTATTCAGCCTTTCGTTATGTGTGGTGACACGGTGATAATTAGCAAATGGGTCACTCTGTCCATGCCTGACCATCATTGCAGACAGACATATACTTTACAACACTACAGGAATACAAGGAGTCAGGACTGGCTGAGTTGTAGAAGAAAGAGTGACAAGGGAATAAAGTGGTCATGATCCCATGAATTGGGTCTGAGTTACTAGCTGGAAAATAATGTTATCTGTGTTCCCATCGCTCTTCCCCAGGGTGTGTGTCTTAGAAGGACAATCTCTTCTGGGACAGTCTGATACTCCTTAGACGCTTGTACAGTCACTGTAACTCTTCTGAAGGAAGTTCTGAGCCCCTTCCTCTAGGAACAAGGATTGTTAAGAAGAACCAACCAGTGGTCTCCAATAGATTTTGACTCATGGTAAAGTCGTGCTCCATAGAGTCTTTTAAATGGCTTTACTTCCGACACACCTCAGGTGGACTTTAACTGCCAATCTTTCCTTGCTTTAACCATTTGCACCATGCGGGGACTCCTTCACTGAGAAGATTTGGGTACATATTTTCCATGCTACTTATACTTATAAAACCTGTTTTGTTGTATATTGAAATGAGTGGTTTGCTCTTCCCTCTTCTCATTTGTCTCCAGCTACCCAGTAGCAGAATGCCCCCTGTCCATCCAGGCCTATGTCCTTCTCCTAAGGTGCAGCATCTGGCTTTGCAGCAGGAACTTGTCTTCTTGCTCGATTTCTGTCCCTTTGTTTCTCTCTCAAGCTCACAGTCTCCACTGGCTGAGTGTTGGCTTTTCCTCCTTGGCATTCTGTCCCTATCCCCTGTGTGTTTTGGTCCCCTCTGCTTGGGCGCTCAATGGGAGCTCAGCGCAGAGCCCACACCCACTCTGCCGACACCCAGAGGGGAAGAGGCTCACTGGGGGCTCCTAGCTGAGGGATGAGGCAGTGGCACGCAGCCCCATACAGTGTGAATACCAGATGAAAAGATTTTATGCGATTCAGATTGCCAAAGATGACGGTTGCTCCTACTGCAAAGGGAATTAATGTCTTGTCTCGCCCTTACAAACAGCTACTCACATTTCCCCAGCTCACCACACCCCCAAACAAAGGCCCGGCTTCCCTCGCTCAGGACCCCTCCGGCTGGGCGCCGACGAGGTGGATTCCTGACTTGGTGTGCTCCCATCTAGCGGTGGTTCCTCATACAACACCACAGAGAGCCACCGGTCCTCTCCTAAGGCTTTTATCTGCACCAACTAAAGAATGCAGTGTTTAGATCTAAAGGCAGAGATTCCTGTGGCCTGATGGCCTGTTTCTCCACTAACTTTGCTTCTCTGACCCCTTCAGATGGTGCCCATTTTGATACTGGAATTCAGTCAGAAAGAAGCTATTCACAAGCCCAGATAGTTCCCTCCATGAAACAAAGAAGTAAGTGATTCTTGCCTCCACTTTGGGTGAGAAGGAGTTCAGAGTTCACACTTCTGTCCTTCTGTTTGACCACTACAGAGATGGAGGGTCACTGTGTCAATTGCTTTGCTTCAGTTGGAAGCGGTGGCACCAAGAAAAACTCCTTGAAGAAAATTTTTTCTAGAAATGTGTATGAATCTACTGGATTTGGGAATTTACCCCCACACACAAAGAGAAATCATATATGAAAAATACACCTACCTGCGTAGTGGTTACAAGTAGGGCTGCTAATCTTAAAGTCAGCAGTTCAAAACTACCAGCCATTCCGCAGGAGAAAGATGACGCTTTCTGCTCCCGTCAAGATTTACAGCCTCAGAAACTCTATGCAGGGTTGCTATGAGTTGGAAACGACTGCACTGCACACCACCACCATCATCAAACATCAAAGACCTGCTG